GGGGAAAAAAACATGCAACAAACCCCGTGGATCATGGAAACAAACACATACGAGCCTTCATGAACGGCTACTGCGTGCCGTGGGTCCGTGACTCCGTGTCTCACAGCTTGCTTGAAACTGGCAGGTCTGTCTTGCCTTCGGAAAGCACATGCAGTCATGAATAATTAAGCAGCCAGCTCTTCTCATAGGATAAGAAAACTCCGCCATGAATAATAATGAGAAACCGACGCGTCATCATTGCACTTGCAGTACTGCGCTACGTCGCCGATTTTGATCCCGCCCCAAAAATCATTGTAAACCCCTAAGCTGGAATTAGCTGACAAAAGCTCAAAATTATCCAGTTTTCCCCACAATTAAAGCTGACAGGTGCTAACATCGTCTTAACTGATGCTCAACACACACACATCTGTTAATATAAAACAAGTTCTCCAGGGTATCCTGAACCTTTAAACATTCCTCATTGACATGATGTGTCTTTTTATATGTGTCTTGACCAATGATACCAAATATGCCGAAATGAACTAAACCTCCTGTTTGCCATTTGGTTTTTGATTGAAATCCTTTTTTTTTTTTTAGTTTTTTAGCTCCTCCTAGACAGTTTTTCTGATTTTCACCTAAATTTAATCACATGATCTACAGATCATTCTGACCAAAAGTTATGGAATTCAATTTGATTAGACCAACTGTTTGCATTTAACATGTGAACAAATCTAACATAGAGCTTGCAAAAACAACCCTGAGGTGATATCTCCGTTACGCATTGATGTTTTTACACCAAATTTAGTGTGTGTGGTATAACAACTATGGTCTGAGGCAGGGCCGGAGTGGGACTCTTTTTCAGCCCTGGAGTTTCAAGCCTCAGACCGGCCCACCTCAGTTCACCACTGACTATATTAAAATAAGGTTATTTCCAATTCAGTTTCTATTTACACTATCACATCTTTTTTTGAGAAAACAGCACTTTTAGAACTTCAAATGTTCAACAAACCTTACAGTATTATGTCTTAACAATAAAAATGAAAAAAAATAAATAAATAAATTGTTACTCAGACGAGGACCGAACCCAGGATGGCCGCGTCATAATCTAACGTACTAACCACTGTACAACAACAGCTGCATGTTGAATGGCGACTTATCTAGTTATATTATCATTATCTTGCATCCTGCTCACGAGGCTACGTGAGAATAGATAAAAAGAGCAGAGCTGCAAAATAATGAATAAGAAGGCTGTGGTCAAGTAAATAAATAAATAATTTTTAAAAAGTGTGACTGCTGAGAGCAACCGATTCTGGAACTAGGGACACCGGCCCTCGCGGCCAAAAAACGGACCGGCCAACCGGGAATTCTCCCGGTCCTCCTGATTAGCCAATCCGGGCCTGGTCTGAGGTTATCTGCAGCGTTTCGGGTTACTGCCCCCTAGTGGTTGGGATATACAAAAAAAATGGCATCTATTTTACTTATAACTTCTTAACTGTTTGTCCAAAATTCATAAAATTGGTCTCTTTACATCCGGCGGATCATGCCGAATCCAATTATGTCTGATTTTCCCTGGTCAGCCATTTTGTCTCTCAGCCATTACTTCTAATGTAATCAAAAACCCATTGTTTCACTTTGTCTGATGCTCCTTACTAAACTTGTTGTTTTTGGCCTCTGGACTGCTTTGCTCATTCTGCCTATAAAGTGCTTGGCCCCTTAATTGCTGCTTGCAGCTATTTTTAATACTGTTTTTACTTTAAGACTGCCATTTTAGAACTTATTACATTAAACTTTTTCACTTGATATTATGATTAACATTTTATTTTTCATTTATTATTCATATATTTGTTAACTGGATTTTGGAAAATACTAAATTTAGTTCCTTGAATATATAAAAAATCTATTTTGTGTTTTAAAAAAGGCCTGCACAATGTTTGTGAACATTGAAAGCTCTTGATGCGCAAGTCTCTCTTTGGCTAAACAGCAGCCATAGTGTGAAACAGTACTGTTGATTTGGAAGTTATCAGATTAGTACAGTATGTAATGATCACAGATCTGATTTTTAGTATTCGAAGGTAAAAATTCTTCAGTCAGAGGCTCAAATCCAAGTGAAGTCAATGTCTACTTTGAGTTACAAGTCTTTCTTTGTGTGAAATTAAGTTACATGTCATTTAAAAAAAAATCATTTCCAGCATAGCCTTAAAGTACTACTGACAGTGATACTGCGTACAAAGAAGAGTAAAAGCCATGAGACCTAAAGTTCAAACTCTGAAGTTTAATGTAAGCTCATGACACAGTCTGATCATGGTCTGTATTAAGTTGGAGAACTTCATTTTAATGCCTATGTATTATTTTGGCATTAAACTAGTCAACCATGTATTTTGCTTTGTGAAGATGATATGTTTGGTCTACCCTTATAATGGGGAGACCTAAGCTTGATCTGCTGTTGGCCTCAATTGTGCATTACAACCAGTGTTTAAGGCAAGATCAGCATTTTTTTTTGTTACTGAAAAAAAATGGAACAGAAACCACTTCACAGACAGACTGTTATGTGTCTGTCTAGATGTCTGTGCTCCCATCCATACTCTGTCTTTACCTCTCCCTGTTTTGTAAGTGTATGTGTACATATTTGTGTGTGTGTGTGTGTGTGTACGCGTGCTTGTGCTGCCATGACAGTGAAAGTTCTTGGTCAGGTCCAGACTGGCTCAGTAATACAGTACATACCAGCAGATCAGCTGGGAGCAGATCCTTAGTTCATTTATAGCCATGGCCTTGTGTTGATGCACGTCTGCCTGGCAACTCTGTGCTAACTCTACCACTCCTGCACCCACCCAACATATGCATGCAATTTTTGTATAACATTTTGAACAAATTCACCATGCTCAAACGCTAAATGTTTTAGTGCTGTTTATATATACCTAGCATGTTTACATTCCATCTTGTAAAACTGCACTACCACAGTTTACAGTTTGAAATAAACTGGTGCTTTTAATTGCAAATAATATTTGAGGATTTTATTTGTATTGCTTTCATTTCTTTTTTCGTTCCTTCTCCTCTTTTCCCTTTTCTCCCACAGCACTTTGACCAACAGAAGTTGAACTTGTATATGCTCTATAAATAAAGTTGAAGTTAATAAATAATATGCCAACATACCCTGCATTCAACCCAGGCTCATTCTGAAAATGTACCGCTATATACATTACTGGAGATCACGAAATATGTCCCAGGAGATACATTTTTTTTGCAGTTTTGTTTTCGCGAATCCACAAGAAGCTACTCAGCACGCTTTTTGAGATGTCAAATTTCTCTCGCTAGTGCCATTTGCATCTGCTGTTCTCACGTAAATCCACCTGAGAACGATGTCGACTGACTGACCCACCCTCCTCTAAACCCAACCGACAGTTTTAAATAGCAATCCAAAAAAAGAAAAGCCGTCGTCTGATTTTTACTACGTTTTCAGATTTTATCACATTCTCACCCTGTTATTTACTTATTTTATTTTTGGCTTCTGTTTTCATCTTACCTGCTTTCTTGAATCGTTCTTTACCGGACTCGAACTCTGTCATCGTGGTCGACTTGAGCGTCTTAAGTCTGCCGGCGTACATAGTGAGCTAACTGGACAAACTGGCAACAGTGAGAAAGCTGTCCATACGGATTAAGTGGTCAGCTAGTAAGCATGAAAAGGAACAGTCACACCGCCCTGTAGCATTCGTTTTAAAGGGCAATGAAACCTCCCACTTTCGGTTCAAGTCTACCTCAGAATTTTTTCAAAAAATGCATCATAATGTTGGTGGAGCTCTGCGAGCAGAGAAAGGAGTGGGCGTGGCCAGCAGAACAGGGGAGAAGGAGGGGAGCGACAACTGTTGTCAGTCAGCTCACAAAATGAGACACAAACCGTGAGGAGACACATGATTTTATAGCTTACAAAGTTTAAATGCAAAGAAATAAACTGATTTAATGCCCTGCTACATTTGTTATTTGTAATTTCATATACACACAACCACGATGTATATAATCGTAAGATAATCATGTTCATATAAACACTATAAATGAGGACTTCTCCCTCAATCCCCGAGTCTGAATGCAGACGCAGTGCAGCAGGTCTCTTGCCCTGTCTATTTCAACCATTAGCCCTGCTGGTAATCTAGAGGATTTAGGCGAACACAGCAGCACGGCAATGTGTCTAAATGTGAAGGAACTCCTGATAAAAGACAACGTCCGCCATTCTCCAATTCTCTTACAGCTCTCCTGACAAAAATGCTTGCTGCACACACACAGCTTTGCTGTATTGGCCCTAACAGGATTGTGGGGAAAAACATGCATCACACCCCGTGAGTCATGGAAACGATCCTTCATGAATGGCTAAATCCTGTGTACCGTGGGGACATAGATTCAGTCTCACCCAGTCATCAACATAGGGTCTCACAGATTGGCACTGGCAGGTCTGTCTTGCCTTCGGGAAGCATGTGCAGTCATGAATAATTAAGAAGCAGGCTCTTCTCATAGGATAAGAAAACTCCGCTATGAATAATAATGAGAAACCAACGCGTCACCACTCCACTTGCAGTTTTGCGCTACTTCACCGATTTTGATCCCGCCCCAAAAATAATTTTAAACCCGGAAGATGAAATTAGCTTACAAAAGCTCAACATTATCCAGTTTTCCCCACAATTAAATCTAACAGGTGCTAACATTGTCTTAAGTGATGCTCAACACACACAAATCTGTTAAAATCTCAAAAGTACTCGAGGGTTTCTTTTACTTTTAAAGATGAAATGCACCCATAGGTACTTTTATATACATAATTCGTGATCTCCAGAAATGTATATAGGGCTACATTGTCAGAATGAGCCTGTGTTACCAGCTTTCATTTCACGACCCTCTCATAAAGTGTCCACCAAGAAAATGTCAAAAATACATTTTGCCCATTTTCTTTTTCTGTTTGCACATGATCACTGCTTTGCATGTTATGATTTAAATATAATGACAAGATATTAATTGGTAATTGTTTGTTTCCCTGATAGGTTGTGGTCTCCAATCTGTGGAGAACGTGGGCAAGATGTGGGGTAATCTTAGAAGCCGATGCCAAGCTCTCTTCCACAGTGACGGCTCAGAGTCCCATCTGTGTAGTCAAGACTTAGATTGTGCTCACTGTGTGCTGGATTTGGACAGGGGAGCACATGCAGAACCCTATGAAACCAGGTCTTCCACACCTTCACGCAACTTGTCACCTCTTCCATTGGCTACTGGTGGACGCAGAAGCCATAATTGTGTGGCGGATATTCCTCAAATAGTAGAAATCTCCATTGACAAAGAGAGTGAAGATGCACGGAGAGGCCCACTTGTTCGCAGGGACTCCTATTCACGTCATGCTCCCTGGGGAGGTAAAAAGAAGCATTCTTGCTCAACTAAAACACAAAGTTCTCTTGAGGCTGACAGGCGAACAGGACGCTCAAGAGGAAGTACAGCCAGAAGGGAGCGTCGTTATGCCGTCAGCTCCATTCAAGAAATTAATGATTCTGTAGAAGTTGGCAGCAGCGGGCGTAGCCTTAGCAGCCGTTCTCTGCGACAACGACTTCGAGACACCGTGGGCTTGTGCCTTCCTCTCCCCACACACCGCCGCTCTCAGTCAGCCAAAGGTCAAGTATCCTCAAAACGTAAGATCCACCTGACAGAACTGATGCTCGAAACATGCCCTTTTCCTCCAGGTTCTGATCTGGCCAACAAGTGGCACCTAATTAAGCAACATACAGCACCAGTCAGCCCTCATTCCTCTTCTGCTCTTTTTGATGCTTTTGATTCAGCCCATTCTTCACCTGAGGACGAGGAGGAGAGGCTGCGTGAACGACGTAGACTTAGCATCGAGGAAGGAGTAGACCCACCTCCAAATGCGCAAATCCATACATTGGAGGCAACTTCAAAGAGCTCTTCCCTCTATAAACTAGGACCAAAGATGGCTCCTGGTGTTGGGGAAACACTTGGGGAGGGCAGGAGCCTAGGAACAGTCTCCTCCATTTCTGGGGGATTATCAGGGATCGCCGCACAGGTTCCAACAAGTATGGCAGTGCCATCCCACACGGTTGACTGTGACTCTGAGGAGGACTCAACTACCCTTTGCTTACAGACACGAAGGCCCAAGCAGAGGCATGCCTCTGGAGACACTCACTGCTCCAGACAGCCAGGGCCTTGGAAGGTCCACACACAGATTGACTACATCCATTGTTTAGTACCTGACCTACAGGCCATAACTGCACTTCCTTGTTATTGGGGAGTGATGGACCGGTACCAAGCTGAAGCCCTGCTGGATGGACGGCCAGAAGGCACCTTCCTTCTACGCGACTCCGCACAGGAGGACTACTTGTTCTCTGTTAGTTTTCGACGTTACAATCGGTCACTGCATGCACGCATTGAACAATGGAATCACAACTTCAGCTTTGATGCACATGACCCATGTGTCTTCCACTCCTCCACAGTAACAGGTTTACTGGAGCATTATAAAGACCCCAGTGCTTGTATGTTCTTTGAACCCCTGCTCACTGCTCCCTTACACCGGACCTTCCCTTTCAGCCTTCAGCACCTGGCACGATCCTCCATCTGTAGACACACCACCTATGATGGCATTGGTGCCCTGCCACTGCCTCCAACCATGCAGGACTTCCTCAAGGAGTATCACTACAAACAAAAAGTTCGTGTGCGCTGGTTAGAGAGAGAGCCACCATTCAAGGTCAAATGAGGTCTGGCTCTGTGCCTGAGTAAACCTGGGGTGTGAGCTTACCTTCTCATATTATTATGTGCTTCAGACACATGGCAATAGAGGATGTTTTGAACTTCCGGCAGTTTTGCGTGTGTGTGTGTGTGTGTGTGTGTGTGTGTGTGTTAATACTATATATGGAATCCATACATGTGTTTCAGTGCAGTACATTCTATCAAACAATCGTATCTTCTAAAGTGTTGAGCATGCTGGGAATGAGATGTTCTTATTCTCTCTGCTCATTTTCCTTATGACCTTATATCAAGTGGATCTTCACTAACCTGTCTGCATGCCTCCTGCATTCTATTGCCTAGAGTTCTAAACATTGAGAGCAGTGTGGTTTGACAATAATTAGCATTTCTACTGGGCAAATTGATCAAATGTAGTTATATTTTAGTAAATTTAAATATATTCAGGTTATCTTGAAACTCTTGATATCTTGAATATTTGCTATCAAGGCATGTTAACTATATGACCATTTGCTAATTCATGACTAATTAATGAGCTTTGAGATTCTTTACAGCAGCCTCCTACAAAGGTCACATTTTCTGAGGCAGCACTTATTAAGTCTTGTGTAAATGGACAGGATTACAGTTATACCCGCACCTCTCCGCACTAAGCATGTTTTATTTTTAAAATCAAGGTAGGCCGAAGTGAATGCATGGATTAATTGCACATGGTAGAGGGAGCGTATGTATGCAATTTTTTTTCATTTACCCACTGACTGACCAGCCTGATCTCATGAGATAACGTATTTTACGTTGTGTCAGTTTAGTGACTAATTCGTACAAATTTGTACGACTTCAGTCGTATGAAAATGTACGATTTTAAAAAGGAGGTGTGGCACCCTACCCCACCCGGATACCTAACTATCATTGTGTGATGAACAAATTGTACTAAATTGTACGAATTAGATTGTACAAATCGATACGATTTAGCCACTAAATCAAAAAGTTACGAACTGCCATGAGATTGTGTTGGACTGACACAGACACAGTGCATAATTTGTCGTAAGATAGAGGACAGATTATTTAATTTAATTTTGTATCCCAGTATAGTCCTCATTTTAAACATTCTCAATTTTTTTGGTTAGTTTAAATGACATACGGCACTTTAATTGTTGTTTGTACACTGCACAATTACTTATAGACTCAAGTGCATACATATAAACAGATTCAATTGTTTGTCTGTGTGTTCTTAAGGCCCTTTTTCATGAGATGTCAATTTATCCCTCATATTATCAGCATGAGACAACTGAAGGTTATGTTAGTGTCCAGTATCTCTTGCCTGTGCAAATGTTATGTACTTGAGGCGATTTGTTTTTGCTTTTTTATATGCAACAACCTGAAGTGGACAGTGAAAGTCCTCTAGAAAAATGGTATAGATACCTCTAAGATTTCTTTAAACTTTAGATAGTGTTGAAACACAGACAGATGCCATCAATATGTATATATTCAATGTTCATTGGATTGATGTCCAGTTCTTTTATAAACTCGTGGTTTGTTCCACCACTTGATAATGTTGCACTTTCATCCATTATGAAGCATGGAGCTATGCTTCCCTCGTCATAATCGTGTGCACTAGTGATTGAGATTCCCTGAAGACTGTAAAGATATAGTTCTAAACTTTTGATGTTCCTGGTCTTGCACAAAAATGAAGGCCAACAAGAGTATGCTTGTATGATTAATATCAGATGTTTATCATTGCGGTGGTAGACTTGGCATTCAGGCAGATGCTAGACCATTTCAAATTGGTACAGTATGCAGTATTTTAGTGTTTGATGACGAGCGACCAAAGGTGTGCATCTATATGTTGTTATTTTGAATGAGAAATCTTCCACCCTAAATCTTTATTATTTAAATCAAGCTTAATTATGGTGTTATTTTTTTGGTGGTAGAGTAGCACTCATTTTGAAACCATCCACAGTCAAACTCCGTCAGAGCTCACCTCAATTGTTGCTTTAGGGAAGTCATTTTGTTAATTTTAGCATTTTCTTTCACTTCATTTCCACTTGAATGGCCTGAATGAATACTCAAGACAACGTCTTAGAATTTCTTTCACCCTGCACACTGTATGCTCTGTAAGACTAATATTATGTCAACTGTCTAGCAATGATGTCATCAGCTTTTATGACTTTAAACCTTTGAGAATAATATAGCATTTATTTAATTTACAGACAGAATATGAGCACTTGGCTGCAGCTAGCAGTTTCACGTCTTTTTTTTTTTCCTGAGCTATCCTTGCTGAAGAAAAAAGAGCCAAAGCTTGTTCGCTGTTTTTTATTTAGTGGATATGCAAGGCGCTTTTTAACTTATCAGGATGGCAGACAAGATAGACAGAATTAAGTTTAGCTGTAAAACCAGCCAGTACAGGGAAGAAACCAGCAAATCAGCCTAGAGTGGTTTATGCATTTTTGGTTAAAAATTATATATATAAAATTATATATATATATATATATATATATATATATATATATATATATATATATATATATATATATATATATATATATATATATATATATATGAGTAGTCCAGTGTCTTATCCAGTATTTTATGTTAACATAAAACATACACAAAATATTTTTAAGTAAATGTAACAAGGCAAAGCTATTTGCAAACATGCCATCGCAGTGGTATGTTTCTAGGTTATGTACCATAGTAACGGTATGGTATACCTTTAAGTACTGTGGAGTATTTATACAGTGCTCAGCATATTTGAATACAGCTCATTTTGTAAATGAATATTTTATCCATTTCTCAGTGAATATAGGCCATGTGTTTTGGTACATTTAAACAAAAAAAAGATTTATTAAAGAGATATATTTATTAAAATAATATTTTAGTCACCAAACATATTTAGAAATTGAACGAAAATACAATTAAATTCAAGAAAAATATTGCAAAACATATTAAAACCTACAAAATATTAACAAAAATGTTATTTTTTTTGCTTCTTGATTTTTTCCCCCCTTTTTTATAACATAAATTTGGTTGTACTTGTTTTTGGACAGTTATCGTAAGATATTTTGTTAGATAAGCTCCAGATTTGGCTTCAGTACTTAATAATCTAATGTATATGCACAAATATAATATTGTATAGCTTTCCATATAAAATATGAATTTAAAAGAGAGATTTGTAAGGGGTTTACTTTTATACAGTTGATGTCAGAATTATTATCCCCCTGAATTATTAGCCCTGTTTATTTTTTCCCCAATTTCTGTTTAACGGAATGATTTTTTTCAATATTTTATTAGATATTTTTCAACTTTTTCACTTTTATACAGCTTAAAGTTGCATTTAAAGGCTTAACTAGGTTAATTAGGTTAACTAGGCAGGTTTGGGTAATTAGGCTAGTTATTGTATAATGATGGTTTGTTCTGTAGACTTGCAACAAATGTAGCTTAAAGGGGCTAATAGTTTTGACTTTAAAATACTGTTTAAAAAAAGCTTTTATTCTAGCCTTTCTCCAGAAGAAAAAAAAAAAATTAGAAATACTGTTAAAAAAAAATAAAAAATCCTTGCTCTAGCTGTTAAACATAATTTGGGAAATATTTAAAAGAGAAAAAAAATGTAAAGGGGGGTTATTAATTCTGACTTCAATTATATGCTGAGCACTGTGGAAACCATGTTGTTATTTTCTGATAACACTGTTACCATACTTTTTGAGAAGGAAGGATTTTTATTTATTTTTTTTAAAGGAGCTACAATGCAGAAATGCATGATACCTATTACCATTTCAGTAACGAGTTTGTATTACTTAAATTACTGCATTTTAACCCAAATAACTATTTTCAAGGGTGTTTGTTTGAGGGCTGTTAAATGCTTAGCGACAGCCCATTCCTCGCCATATTCTTTTATAACACTGAGGCACACTCATGCAGTCATTTAGGACTTTCTGCGCACTATATAGTAAGCAAGTCACTCCTGCCAGTGTTACACCCAGCCCTGTCTTAGGCACTAATCACAGGCTAAATTTAACATGCTAGCCTCTAAATTTACCACCTTCTAAAAGGACCACTCTGTTTTTTAATTGACTGTAAAAAAAGAGATGAGGGTCTTTTTGCTAAAGTTTTTCATTTCTGGTTTTACCACATCCTCAGCATCACCCTCCTCTTTGTATATGTAGCAGAAAGCAGATTGTTTGTCTAGTCAGGATGCTATGCTAAGGTTAGCTTTAGCATCAAGCTAGCTCACAGAATGCTCCATTGAGGAGCACTGCTGTGCTGTGAGGAATTTAAACCACAGTCATTATTTAGTTAATAGTTTAGAGAAAGTATTACGAGGGAAGTGTAACACCAAACTAATCCAACTCAGTGTTCTTCAGTTACTCAGGCCTGGTTTATTACATTTAAAATAGGGCAAAATAGCAGCAGTGGCACTGCAGAAGTCAGCAAAGATTGCAGTGAGGATTCTTGTGTTGAGACTTCTATGAGCTGTGTCTTGTGCTTATATGGCCTTAGGATGCTTTGTCCTTGTTTTCATGGTTAACAACTTTATCATTTAAAAGTGCTTCTCTATACGGAGGAGTCTGATCTTCTTTCTGCCCTTTTTCCCCATGGGAAATGTCTTATGTCAGTCGCTGCACATATGGACCGTATGACCATGTCAAGTAGAATCTGCTTGTAATCTAGCTGGGGGTTGGGGGGTGGGAAATTGCTTGATTATATGTGCGCATAATCAAACGTACCCATTGTTGTTACATGTTGAGACGTACAAGACAGAATGCTAAAAACTGCAGCAGGGCACCGATTTATCTTGAGGTTACTATTTCTTCTATTTAGATATTAACTGTTTTGACTCTTCTTTAGTGCCAACATGTAAATTTCTGGGAGCTTATTAAGGAAACCTGCATGTGATCATCCTAAATGTGAAGGAATGATCATTCCTGAATAATTGATGTGATAACAAAACAAAACTGAAGATATTTCCAATTATTTCCTTTCATTCATTGAAACAAAATGTGGTTATTTGTATATTTAGTGGATGTAAATATGAACATTGATTCATTTTGTTTAATTGTTAAAATCACGCTTGTAGGGATGTCCCGATCAGGTTTTTCTCAGTCATTTGATTTTGAGTATCTACCGAAACCCGATTCGATACTTCTAAAAATACTTAAAAATAAACAAATAAAGAAGAGTGAAGAAACAGATCCAGAAAGTTCCTGATTTTAATTTAATTCACCTTATTTTAACATTCAACAAGTCTATTAACAAACAGCACTTCTGTGAGGTAGCTTGATCAGTCAAGTTATAAATAACTTACATTTTTCACTTTTAGACTTTAGTAAATATACAATAAATATAAAAAAAAATCTAAAATGAATAGCACCTCAACTGAAAATACCCAGTAGGCAATCCCAAGTTTACATATCTTACAGTTTGCTATGGCAATGTTGTCATATTCAACTTTATAATACCTCTAGACCGCAGACATACTCGCACTTTCTGAGTCAAGCTGCTTCCGTGTTCTACTTTGCCGGCATTTAACCAATAGAGTCTCAGCAACAAAGTGATGTCATGCTGCACACCAACAAATATACTTCCATTCAAACGCAAGGTCATGGGTCAAGTTTCACAGGTTGCTGCGGTGCTAAGTTGAAACTTGGTGAACTCTGACCTGCGAAATTGCATCACATGACTGCGTGAGACCAATCGAGGATCAAAACATGACCTCTTAGAAAGAAATATAAAACATGGAGCAAATCGCTTGCTTTTTTAATGTCTAATCGTCTTGTTTAATCCCGCCCCTTCTCGAAGGACAAAATATCGCACACACAAACTCTAGTGTGTCCGCAGCTTAACTCTGTGCCACAGCATAACTAATAGATGTGTTAAAAAATAATGAGAACATATATTCTCATAAATATGCACTAATATTTTTGATTTCCCAAATTATGTTTAACAGAGCGAGGACATTATCACAGTATGTCTGATAATATTTTTCTTTTGGAGAAAGTCTATTTGATTTTTTTCGGCTAGAATAAAAGCAGTTTTAATTTTTTTTTTTACATTTTATGCACAAAATTATTAGCCCCTTTAAGCTATGTTTTTTTTTTTTTTGATAAGTTTACAGAGCAAACCCTCATTATACAATAACTTGCCTAATTACTCTAACCTGACTAGTTAACCTAATTAACCTAGTTAAGCCTTTAAATGCCACTTTAAGCTGTATAGAATAGTCTTGAAAAATATCTAGTCAAATATTATTTACTGTCATCATGGCAAAGATAAAATAAATCAGTTATTAGAGATGAGTTTTTAAAACTATAATGTTTAAAAATGTGTTGAAAAAAAATCTCTCCGTTAAACAGAAATCAAGTAAAATAAACGGGGGCTAATAACTCTGACTTCAACTGTATATATATATATATATATAAGTTCGGATCGGGAGGTAACATCCAATTCTGATCTGGTCAGAAACTGCGTGATCGGGCCCAATTTCTGATCACGTGATTGGATCTGGACATCCCTACACGCGTGTATCACTATAAGTAAAACATAAATCAACAAAAAGGGGACTTTTCGCACTCTTTTCACTTGATGCAGGTACAGGATGATTGCCATGCAGGCTTCTTGGGGCGTACTCAGTGCCCAGACACGCTTCCCGGTTCGTTTGAGAAGTGCTCTGAATCAGGCTCAGGCACGGTTCAGTTGGCCAGCCCGGGCCCAGTTGGAAGGGGTGTGCCGGAGCACAGTACACTTGGGCTTTGGTAGGGTACGCTTGTAGTGTGACAGCAAAGCATGCCTGAGCTCGAAGCGGAAGACACAACGTCACGTTTCATATGTATTTTTTAATCATTCTTACTGTTCAAGGAATGCAAACTTTCATCATTTATTAAAGACGCAAACCCCTCACTGCACGACAGCTGCAGCTTCAGCAAACCTCCTAATTCCTGCAGCACGAGACTTTGATTATTTATGGGCGTCAAAAGTAGCTGATCTGTTCTGTGAAATATTTGACTGTGTGTCACTGCATATCAAACGACTAAAATGATATAATTAAAGCAATCTCCACTGTGCTGAGCAAGAACGCTACTCCTGTTTAACTAAACAGCGCATCATCAATGACTTAACCATGCTCAGGCTTGGATGCAATGTGAGTGCAGGCCGTCGGGGGAGAAGGAAGGGTACCTAGTGAGAGTACGCCCTTAAACCCTGATTTGTTTCTATCAAATCCACAGATTCTTGTTTAAATTTGAACTTAGTTCTGTAAATGAGGCCTCTGATCTTTTTGACTTTGGTGCCAGAGTTATTTGCAAAAAGAGATAAATAAATAGTGTTATGCAAGCAAAGTAGCATTTCATGATTTGTTATTTTTTACGTTCTTTTTATCTCTAACACACAAGCATGATGT